AGTTTTCCTGAAAAAATTCTTTGGCACAGCTAAGCAGAGAGATTTTACACCACAACAAGGTATTCCTTGTTCTCTCTGGTGTTCAGTTTTAACCACCGTTCATCATTTCACCAGCTTTTTTACGCTTTACAAAATGCTTTACCCTAATCTTTTGAGCTAGATAAGAGCATAATAAGCTGCACTTGAAGTTACAAGAAAAGGGGAATGGACTCACTCCAAAAATAGCACGATACCTCCAAACTTTTCCTGCTAACAACTAGGCAATTTCTTGCATGTTCTAAAGAAAACTAACTGTAAGAAATATACGTTTACTCAGTTTCTTTAAACTAGGCATACCTGTGTTGCAAATGATACTTGTGTATTTCTGAGATGCAAGGGGAGGACGAAACAGCATAGCCTCCACTCTCAGATGCCGATGGCTTCCCGCTCTGTTCTTTTTCTGGTGTGATCTCAGCTCACCGCAACCTCCGCCTCCCTGGTTCAAATGATTCTCCTGCCCGAGCCTCCTGAGCAGTTGGGATTATAGTCAGGCACCATCACACCTGGCTAAATTTTGTATTCTTAGTGTAGACAGAGGTTTCACCATATTTCCCAGGCTGGTCTTGAACTCCTGACCTCAGGTGATCCACCCACCTGGGCCTCTCAAAGTGCTGGGATTACAGGTGTGAGCCACCATGCCCTGTCTATTTCTTCACCCTTTAATCAAGATGAAAAGACAATATGATGTAGTGAGTAGGAGCACGTGCTCTGGAGCCACACTGCTAGGGCTCAAATCCTAGCTCTGCCACAGTGCAAACTTGGGCAAGTGACTTAACTTCTCTGTGCCTCTGTTGAGACATCCCTAAGATGGGAATAGTACCACCCCATTAACTTGGTATGAGGATTAGATAAATAGGTATAATGAAGCACTTTGCATAGAAACTGGCACATAGTGCTATATAAATATTTGTTATTCCTATCTCAGACCAGCCTTAGAACATTAAAGAAATAGAATTCATAAAAATAAGGGTAAGAACCCTGGAAGGGAGTGATGAGACAGAGAGGAAAACTCTGTAATAGCTAAAGAGAAGACACAGAAGGCAAACAACAATGAAAAATTGGTTGTTTCCAAGAAATAGAAAACCAACTACAAGATATTGAAGCCATGGGCCAAGCAAAGCAAAGCTGTTTTTTCCTTGTTCTGCTGACTGCTCCGATGCCAGACTTTTCCATTTTCCGGTCTGGATTCGTATCGCTGTCTACGTTTCATATGGGGGCCCCAGACCAAACAGGTTCAGCGTTAGGGAGCGGCGGCAGTCCTTACTAAGCCCCCTGGGTTTGTGACTGTGACTGCAACTGTAACCCTCTATGGCTTAAGGTTATGGGAGGAAGGACTTGGCCTCCAGAAATCAGATCTCAGATGGTAAACAGACAGGAAGAGAGGTGCTTCTAAATACACCAGCATCCTTATTCACAAAGCGGCCCTATGAGCCCCTCAAACTTAGCCACAGACCCACCATCACCTTGCATACAGTCTGCCCATGGGACTGTGGGATGCAAACGCAGATGGAAGGGACCTCCTAGATCCCACTGCCGGATCTCACCAGTTTTTGGCTACTGAGATCCAGAGAGAGCAAACAACTTGCCCCAAAGCTGTGGGACATCTAGATAAATATTTTGACAGACAGATCACTGATATAAGCATCTCTCCTCATTAAACATTCTTTAATCACTATATTTTAGTCATTTTTTTAAATGTTCACTCTTAAAAAAAAAAGCCACCAAGCAAAATAAATATCTCTTGAGCCAAAATAGTGACATCAACTGTGTAATGGTCACTTCCCTGTGACAGCTACCAGGCACCAAGAGCAGTGAAGCACCCGTGGTCACGCTGGTTCCCTAGTGCAGATTTGGAATATGCTGAAGAATATTTGGAGGAGCATGGGTGCTTGCTCTGATATGAGTCTCGGAGGTGCAGACACGCACCTGTAACACCCCAACTTTCCTCAGGAGCAATTTAGAACTAGAAACCACAATTTATTTATCTAAAGTCCCTATAAACTAAGACTTTCTGGCATCCTTTATCTTGAAATTGAACCAAATGAAAACACTCTTTGACTCTTCTCTTCTGCCCGTCCTACTGATGTCTGTCACCTTCTCCTGCCTGATCCCAGCCCCACCAGGTCATGAGTGAGGTGGCCTTCTCAGAATCCAGCTGCTAAAGCCTCAGCCACACAGAATCCATCCAGGGATCTCACGCAGCCAGAGCTGTAGGTACCACATTTTTTTCCCACAGACCCTGTTTTAAAAGATTTGGTCCAGCAAGTTTATTAATATGTTTGCCATTTAAAATAATCAAAGCATATCTGACTGCCAATTAGAGCTCCCAAACAACAGAAGATAACTAGTATTACCACAGACTTGCTAGTATTTCAACCCAGAAACAAAATGCATTTTAGCCAGCTGCAGTGGCTCATGCCTGTAATACCAGCACTTTGGGAGGCTGAGGTGGGAGGATCGCTAGGGCCCAGAAAGTTGAGGCTGCACATGAGCTATAATTGCGCCACTGTTCTTCAGCCTAGATGACACAGCCAGACTCTGTCTCAAAAAAAAAAAAAAAAAAAAAAAAAAGTAAGAAAGAAAAAGAAAATAGCACCTTAACAAGCCAGCACTGCCTGATTTTGAAAATATTTGCTTCTGCCGCCCACCTTGTTCCCCACTACACTGCTTGAGCCTGAACACAGCCTGGAATCTAGCACAGCCACTGAAGACTCACTGGGTTACCCCCCCAGCAATGCAGCCAATTTATCTATGATCTGAAATTACATCAAATTTCCAAGGGCTGTGAAAAACATTTCCCATGAGCAAGAAGTTAATTTATTTGCACGGGGAAATGAATGGTTCCCTTTGCTTTCCTGACCCTCCCATAGGCACCAGGAAACAACATTAAGTGACCCTGAAAAGAGACCCCAGACAGAGCCTTCACTTATTTAAGATGGCCTCAAATCAGCCATGTGTGACAGAGGACATAAATCCTACATCCCACGGTATGGGGTCTGGGGATTCTTTAAGCTGAGGTGCAGCATCTGTTTGAATACATTCCATTTTGAGGAATAATTGGGTTGTGCTCGGTTTTGCATGTCACACTTCGGGAGAAGAGTGCTAAAATTGTGCATTTGGAGCAAATTTATCAAACTTCTGCTTTATGCAATCTTAGGTAAGAAAGTAATCATTTAAAAGCCCAGATAGTGGAGTTCATTGTGTTAGGACAGGCTACAAGAAGCCCCCTCCCCCTCTGTCCATTATAATTTGTTTCATAAAAAACTAGAATTCTTTTTAGAATTAGAAGGAGCAATATTTGAGATCATCCCAGAAAAAGGATCATTTGGAAGCCCCAATAAGAAAAATTCATTTTCCAATCAAACTGTATTAATTTTAACAACTCCCACCTCACCAAAAAGCACTCAAAGTAATGAGAACTGTAAAAAGAGGGAGGAAAACAGCCATCAGTTCGTGGGAATAATAATTCTCTTCTGTTGTCGGAACAGCCTTGTTCTAATATAAAACAATCAGCTCTCATGCATCCTCCCTCCATTTCTGCAACCCCCTAGATTAGAGGGAGTCTCTCGTTTCACTCTTCTTGGCCTTATCGAAGCACAGGTGACCCACAGGACATCAGACTCTTTAAAGAGCACAAACTTCTGATATTCCAGGGTGTCAGACATTATTCAAAGGACCCATGTTGCAAATCATGCCACTCTCAAAGTCACGTTAATACTTAATGTGTGGCCGGGCGCGGTGGCTCACGCCTGTAATCCCAGCACTTTGGGAGGCCGGGGCGGGTGGATCACGAGGTCAAGAGATCAAGACCATCCTGGTCAACATGGTGAAACCCCGTCTCTACTAAAAATACAAAAAAAAAAAAAATTAGCTGGGCATGGTGGTGCGTGCCTGTAATCCCAGCTACTCAGGAGGCTGAGGCAGGAGAATTGCCTGAACCCAGGAGGCGGAGGTTGCGGTGAGCCGAGATCGTACCATTGCACTCCAGCCTGGGTAACAAGAGCGAAACTCCGTCTCAAAAAAAAAAAAATACTTAATGTGTGCCAGGTATTGTGCTAGGTACTTGGCATGGACTATCTCACCTAATCCTGTGATTTATATACTATTTGCTTTATTTTAGATTAGAAAGATGAGAGCTGGATAACCTGCCCATCCACGCCAATCAGGGACCAGTGATCTGCCTGCACAGCCAACACTCTTAACCATTGTTCTGGCCCACCTTATGATATCAGGGTGCATGTGGGCCTTACTAAATTCCCCAAAAACACACCCCGGGTACAGACATCGTCCCTCCATAGAGGAGCATTCACCAGCATGAAGGAAGGCATTCCTTCTCTTGAAAGGTTCGGACTGAACCCCATAAAATGTCTGTAATAAGTACATGAAAAATAACAAGTACTATACATCAGGGAGCCACAGTAAACGCCATCATTCCATGTTGTGAAACAGCCTCCTGACTTCCTGAAATCCATTCAACAATGAAGAAAATACAAAGAGGCCATTGGAATCATTTCTACAGATCTTCTGATGAGTGTAAGGTCTGCAGCCTCAGTTGAGCTTTGAGACTTCAAGGCACTCTGCAAAAGCAAAGAACTAGAAAGGCAATCACTCTGTTCTTGGGCCAGAATATATTTCATTCACAGAAAAAAAAAGTGAACTTTCTAGAAAGTTTTTAAGCATTGACCTCATACAAAATGCTTATCAATTCAAATATCATATAATACTGGGTCCTTCCCACTTACAAAAACTGTCCCCAATGCACATGGAGAGTGGTAACTAACCCCATGCGTCAACTTCAAATAAACCAAAGTATAAAAGGTATAAAACAGCTCCAAAAGGACTATTCTTTGAAAGGAAGGCCTTAAAGCAGTTTGCAAACTTCACATGCACTTGTTTTATATGAATATCTAGAGCCACATACAGCATAAAAAGGAAGCTTTGAAAAGGGAAGGAACTCACTGTACAGAAGACAAAACAATACCCTTTTTATTTTTAAAACTCTGGTGAAATAGGTTTCCATAGGACATCCCATTCCAAAAGAATTAATGTAAACCAACCTGCCTGTGGGTTAGTCACACTATACAGACTTCATCAGAGTGTTTACAGATACCTAGAGTATTTACAAATGCTATCCGTTAGGTAGTAAAGTTTTGTTGCAATTTTTCCAGCACATATTCCACAGTAAAATAAAGGGAGTATATTGGTGTTCTTGTATAAAAATTCTTAACAAATAGAGAAAGGCAATTTTCCTGAGAGAAGATTTGTTCTTGAAATATTTTTCCTTTAACAATTGGAAATATAGAAATGGGATGTAGTTGTAAAAGAAGCATAAGAATGTCTAAGTTAACATTTTTCTTTTAAATTATTTTAAGTACCATTAAGTTAAAATGTTTACATTCATTATAAAAAATGCTGTTAAATCTTATGCAAATGATTTAACACTGATTGCTGCAACGCAAATTGCACTTTTTAAAAAAATTATTGTATACATGGAAGAAAAATATCTTGTTTGCTACCCTGTTTACAAATTCCGACTGACTTCAGATCAGCCACGCAATATGAACTTTGAGAAATGTCAGTCACAGTGTGTGTTAAAGTTACAATGCAGTCTTGCAAACTGAGTGATATTTTTGACAAGAGACCTCATGAACCAACTCGGCCTCCAGAGATGTGTACCAAATGGCCTCAAGTGATCTTCTCCATGAACGCACGTGAAATCTGGATGTGGAAAAGGTATGAAGAAATTCTGGAACAACCGAAATTGATCAGAAGAAGCACATGATTTTGGACAAAATGCGAAATCTTTTTTAAAAATCTCTCTCAATATTCCTTAGCAAGCAAGGCCCGGGTCCCAGTCCCGGCTTCTGGAAGTGGAGCAGGGTCCGCCCCCCGAGGCGGGCTGGCTGGAGTGGCCCTGGCCAGAAGGGGAGGCGACGCGCCCCGTTGCACTGGCCCTTCCCTTCCATCTCCTCTCACTCTTCAGCAAGCCTCTTGGGGAAAACATCTCTTTCAAAATAAAGGCACGAGAATCACGTTCTGTCAGCGCAGTCGCCACTGTCTGGACTGCTGCACAAAGCAGACACGAGTGGAGCGCGGCCCACGGCGGAGCCCTCCTGCCTCCTGGCTGGCGTGGGCTCAGGCCAGGGCCAGGGCGCACCAGGAATCCTGTCGCACGGAGGATGTGACTTCGGCCGGCGAGGCCAGACTGACGCCTATGTAGAGCCCATCTTGACCAGAATACTTGAGCTCGCTGTTCTCGGGATTAGTGCTCTCTCCCGCGCCAGTCATCACCGGGGCACTCGCCTGGCAGAAGAGGGGGACAGAGAGGAGAGACGAGAAAGGGGAGAGGCGGTTACGGTCCTGCTAAACACATGGGAACAAATGAATGGGTCAGTGCAGCCAGGGCCAGAGCTGCTCCTGGGCGGACCCAGTGCAGGGGAAGTGAGGTCGACATTGCTATCCCCTGCCCCCAGCAAGCAGGGGCATTGCCCTGCGTTGCACAGTGACCTGACCGTGGCCACTTAAACCCTGGAAACTTTAGAACTCAGGGCAGGAGCCACTGGCAAGATGCAGGACTGCACAAAAGGAAGAACTGAAGGAACGCTATTTGTAAAAAGTGCCAAACTCTTAAGATCTCTGACGATGAAACAAACTGCACTGAGCTGGTAAACGGGCATTAACGATACACACACAACCTAATAATTTCCAAAGAGAAAATGCAGAGAACGCGCGCGCGCGCGCACACACACACCCCCACCACACACACACACACACACACACACACACACACACACACACACACACAGCTCTAACAAGGCTTATCTGGTGATGACAAACTCTTTTTAGACTTTTTAAGAAAAGCTACAGTTAACATTCCCTGATAAGTGAAATTTTTAAGCACTGACTTCATGGAAAATAAACCCATGCATATACAAGTTTTATTATCTACCTCATTTACCTTAATTCTTTACAAGAACAGCCCATGTCTGAAGCAGACCACATTTTAAAGAAAATGCTAGATCCTCTATCTGCCATGATCATGGCAATGATTTCTCTCCTTTTTTTTTTTTTTTTTTTTTTTTGAAACAGTCTCACTGTAGCCCAGGCTGGAGTGCAGAGGCACTATCTCCACTCAGCACAACCTCCACCTCCTGGATTCAAGTGATTCTCTTATCTCAGCCTTCCGAGTAGCTGGGATTACAGGAATGCACCACCACACCTGGCTAATGTTTGTAGTTTTAGTAGAGACGGGGTTTTGGTAGAGGCCATGTTGGCCAGACTGGTCTCGAACTCCTGACCTCAAGTGATCTGACTGCCTCAGCCTCCCAGAGTGCTGGGATTACTGGCATGAGCCACTTTGCCTGGCCACAATGATTTCTTTTTTAAAGAGACAGAGTTTCACCATGGTCAGGATGGTCTCCATCTCCTGACTTCATGATCCACCCGCCTTGGCCTCCCAAAGTACTGGGATTACAGACATGAGCCACAGCGCCCAGCCTCACAATGATTTTTTGAAGCACAAGTTCACCTTTCCCCTGTTCCACCCATTCCTCCCATTCACATGAGAAAGGCCAAATAGGAAACATTATATAATTTAGTAGAATCAAACCAAAATAACTAAAATCTGTTTAGACAACGGTTTGAAAAAAGTTGCTCTTGAGAAACTTTTTGAAAAATCTAGCCATAATCATGTACTTTTTAAAATCACCTTTTTCCTTCTAAAAAGTTCAGAAGCCCTTATTCCTTCCAAACTTTCAGAGTTCCATTCTATAAATTACCAGATACTTATTATTTGACAGAGGTAGGACATTGTGTACTTTTTGAAGAATTTCTTTTTTACATATGTAATCCCATTAAATCCTTAAAACGGCCATTCCTCTGGCACCAGAAGCAAGCAGAATAGAAAGGAAGTGTGCCGAGCCTCCATGGCCTGCAAGTGAATGAGATTCGACTCTACTCGTTTTTCCAGCAAGATCTGGTTTGCTCTCAATCCTCACCATAAGGGCATGAGGTTGGGAGGCAGGACTTCAGGCAAGCAAGCCCACTGAGTCTAAGCACCAGACTTCCTCCCTCCCAAGCAGACAGACCAAACCTGACTCCCTCACAGGTAACCACGCCTTCTCTTGCCCAGCAGAAATGAGGGTTTATGAAAATCCAGCAACAGCCCTGGTCCCACATCCAAACTTTTATTTACATAACACAAATGTAAAGACTTAAACTGAGGGTTTTAGGTGCATAAAAAAGCAAATTTCACAAAATCAGTGAGATGTCTACTAAAGCTTCACAGGGATTCTTGTGGCAATTCTGAAAGAACTAAAATAATCCTGTCCAACGAACTGAATGCCATGAACTCGGTTACACTTATGAACATAGTGATTAACTTTAGCCCTTAATTCCAGAAACTCCACTAGAAGCAAATCCAGTATGGACCGAGATTTAACCCTCAAAGAAATAATGATATTCAATCACAACAGAATTATTTATTGAGAGAGGAACTATTAGAGTGAGCTCCCTTATAATAATATATGTCATGCCCAACTTTGCTAAGATTTTCTTATTCCAAAACAGGCATATCTGCATGCATCTGATTAAATCTGACTTCACCACGGCAAGTGTTATTTTCTGAAATGGAGAGGGTTCCTGAATTGGCCCACCAGGAAATAGCCCATCTCAAATGGTAGGGAAGTGCCAAGGCAGCAGAGGATTCTGTCACCACCACCACAGCCAGCAACAAGAAATATTAGTAGTCTGGGCATGGCGACTCATGCCTGTAATCCCAACACTTTGGGAAGCTAAGGAGGAAGGATCGCTTGAGCCCAGGAGTTTGAGACCAGCCTTGGCAACATAGGGAGACCCCCATCTCTACAAAAAATACAAAAGTTAGCTGCGCATGTAATCCTAGCTATTTGGGGGGCTGAGGTGGAAGGACTGCTTGAGCCCAGGTGATGGAGGCTGCAGTGAGCTATGACTGTAACACTGTACTGCAGCCTGAGGGACAGAGCAAGACCCTGTTGGAAGGAAGGAAGGAAGGAAGGAAGGAAGGAAGGAAGGAAGGAAGGAAGGAAGGAAGGAAGGTTGGTTAGCAAAGCACCAACTGACAGCCAAACAGTGGACCAGGAGCCTGAGACAGTCACTGCCCCAGGAGCTCTCAGGCTATATGGGGAGCCATACACACTAGAAAGTCGAATGATGGCTGTTTATCATAAGTGACTGCTGGCTGTTTATCATAAGTGACAAATGAGTGGCTGAGACAGGAAGGTAGAACAAGAGTCAGAAAAGGAATAGCAGAGGGCAAGGACTTCCAGGCAAGGAACCAAGGCAGCCCGCACAGGAGCATGGGGAGGAGGGGAAGGAGCTTGGACTCTCCAGTCCTGTCCTGGCTCAGTCCCCTGCTGAGTGCACTCGTCCCTGAGCCTCCTCTGTGCCCCAGTCCTCACATTCCCCACCTTAGGGATGGCTGTAACAATTAAATGAGCTGTTTGTAAAAGCGAAGGCATGGTGCCTTGCCATGTTAAACATTCCATAAAGGGAAGATATTGTTATTGGCGAGAGAAGGGTGTTAAATGGGAGGCAGGACAGATGGAGAGAGGCAGCCACCTGGCCTGTTTAGAAGAAAATCCAGCTGAAAAACAGAAGGATGAAGCAAAAGAGTGAAGAAACCATGTGGGAGAGGTAAACCAGAAGCCTGACATAAAACTTTGTGTGCCTCAGTTTCCTCACCTATAAGGTGTGATAAAAAGAGGCACCCATGTCAGGTTCTTCCAAAAATTAAATTGGCTAGGTCTGGCATGGTGGCTCATGCCTGTAACCCCAGAACTTTGGGAGGCTGATGCAGGTGGATCACCTTAGATCAGGAGTTCAAGACAAGCCTGACCAACATGATGAAAGCCAGTCTCTACTAAATACAAAAAATTAGCCAGGCATGGTGAAGTATGCTGCTCATGAACCAAGCTTGTGCCATTGCACTCCAGCCTGAGCAACAAGAGCAAAACTGAATCTCAAAAAAAAAAAATGAGATGACTATACATAGCTACCAGAAAAAAAAAAAAAAAGAATTAAATTGGCTAATATATGTAAAGTCCTTGTAACAGTGACTGAGAACAGTAAAGATTATGTCAGTATAAGCTACTCTTGTTACCTATTATTCAAAGCTAAGGGGCTTGGATCTAATTTATTCTCCTCATTCTCTCCTTCAGCCCAGGCAAGTTACCCCATCACCAGGCAGGATCAGATGCAGACACTCAGACCTCAAAGAGAACCACCTCCAGAATGACCCTATTCAAACTGTCACTGATGGTTCTTCACAAAAATAAATCAAGATGTTCTGCAGCCAAAGTCTCATGACTTTTTTACTTTTTTTTTTTTTTTTTTTTTGAAATAGGATCTCACTCTATCATCCAGGCTGCAGTGCACTGGGTGCAATCTCAGCTCACTGCAACCTCCACCTCCTTGGCTCAAGAGATCCTCCCATCTCAGCCTCCCAAATAGCTGGGACCACAGGCATGTGCCACCACGCCCAGCTACTTTTTGTATTGTTTTAGAGACGGAGTTTCACCATGTTGCCCAGGCTGTTCTCAAACACCTGAACTCAAGGGATCCACCTGCCTCAGCCTCCCAAAGTCCTGGGATTACAGGTGTGAGCTACCACACCTGGTCACTCACTAACTCTTTTTCAACAAGCCACATTAAAGGAACATTAAACACCCTCAATGTTATTCTTACACCTGAATAACAATCCCAAAAACAGTCAAATAACCTGTCATTTTTTCAGACAAAATGTTAAGTTATTTGGCAGGCCAAGAGTCCTACCATTAAAGGGCAGACAACCCTCAAATTCCAGGAGTGATGCGCTCCTAAAAATAAATCTGCTCAATTGCAATTAAAACCAATAGCTAAGCCTGTCAGAAAAAACGATGGAGCAAGTACTTGTGCTCAATGCTTGCTAGCCTTATTTTATGTGGGGATATAATATTTAAACATGAAATACTGCAAAGCAAGGCTGATGTCCCCTCACTCATGGCTGGCAGGGCTACATTCTGGTACACACACACCTTACAGAAGGCAGTTAGCAGCAGTGTCAACAGCCATCCAGAAGTTCAGAGCTTACTTCACCCTGTAATTTCACTTCTGGAAATGTATTACAAGGAAGTAATTCAAAAGAAGAGAAAGGCTCCACAAAGGAAGCCAACCATTGCAAGGTTACTTCTAATAGTAGAAACCACAGAAACAATCTAATGTCTAATAATATGGGAACAGTTTAGAAAAGCAGGGTACATCCGCTCAGTGAACTATTATGAAATTAC